CTTGGGGAATCATTTGGCCTTCCCTGCCCACTCCTCCCACCTCGTCCTCAGGTGTGCTTCTACCTGGTAGCTGAGATCTCGGACCTCCAAGGTGTTGGACTGGCCGCTGTAGGTGAAGTACAGGCTGTTGTCACTTTCGGAGAACAAGCTGTCCTGGAGGCCCTGCTGGCAAACATGACAGGTGAGGGGCTCCTTCAAAAGCTGCTGAGCACTTAAGAGAAAACACGGAGGAGACCCAAGAGGTGAGAGCAGCAGCTAGTGTGGTTGAGATCCAGAATTGGGAAGACATGGGTTTGGGTAGGTGGAGCCCAAAGGCTCTGAGAAAATACGAGCATTCATGAGGGCAAATCTTTCCTTCCCTGCAGAGTGAGCTTTGGGGCTTCCCTCCAGCACAGCTCCTGGCTCCAGAAAACTCAATCTCAGATTGGTGGAGCCTGGACCCAGGCAGCCTATGGTGGACAAGACCCAGACTCTGTACTGGAGAGAGCTTTGTGAGCTTCTGTGCTCTGGGGACACCTGAGCTGGGGGTTGGCCTTAACTTTTCTCTTCCCTGCCTCTTGCTTACTATCTTCTAATGCCAAAGAGACTCCATGTACCTGGCATGTGAGAGGAAATAACTATCAAAAAGCTAATGCTCGATATTTGGAAGACACCATCCTTGGAAAAGTTGCATCTTATTCTAATGAGTTTTGCACAACAAAGCCATTCAAAATGCTTTTGGGAGATTTCACAGGAAGTCCCTCTCATTGTCATAGTCCTCCTCCTCATCATCTTGCTGTTGTTGGGAGTGATGCTATATTTGTACATCAAATAAATCAGTGTTTCATGGTATCAACTGATAGCTTTGGTATTAGCCATCAGCAGATCCGAATTCCTTCTATTTTATCAGTTCAATCCTTTAAATCATTGAGGCCCCAAAAAAGAAGAACCTGCCTGGTAAGATTTCTATTTTTAAATACATTTTTCTTTTATTTCTTAGTGCAGGAAAAAGTGTATTTATTAATAAGTTCCAGTTGACTCCGACCTTTTCCCCCAGAGCTGCTCTTCTCACACTGATGTGTTCCTTCAGTCAATCAAGCAAGCATCCAGTACTTGGAGCGCACGTCACGCTTCGGGCTTGGAGTCTGGGATGTGACAAAGGTGGTTTCTGAGCAGCTTAGATTTTTTTATTGAGGTAAAATTGGTAGATAACATCATATTAGTTCAGGTATACAACACAATTCAATATTTGTGTACACTGCAAAGTGGTCACTACAATACATCTAGTTACCCTCTGTCACCATGCAAAGAAGCGTAGGTCTTAATGAATGGCATAGGTGTTTAGGATGGAGCATGACAGGCCAGGTGTAGAGGCAGGCTGACCTCAAGCATCCATTTAGGGTATATTTACACTGTGTACACTGTGCCTACCTGTGCTTTGTGTGAAAATAAAATGACTTATGACTCATGTGAAAATAATATCCAGAAGTCTCTGTCAAACTTCCCTGTAGTGGTGGAGGTCCGAGGTCCTCAGACAGGATGTTCCAGCCCCATGGGAGAGGAGGGAAATCAATACAGGTGACAGTCTGCAGCAGCAGCTGTGAGTAAGTAGTCCCCAGAGTTCCAGGGCAGTATGGAAAACAGCAGACCATAGCTACTTATCTTGTCTGATGTTAGAACTGTTACCATAAAGATCCTAAATTATACAGAAAAACCTGGGAAAGATGAACACCTCATTTAGCAGCAGGGCAATCTCTGGGGAACAGAGAGGAACACAAGAGAGAAGGTTACAGGGGAAAGCGAGGTGAATCGAGCTTCAGAGCTCTTGGTAATTAGTGGTGTGTACATGAGAGTTCGCTACTAAACTGATCTGTCTGAAATAATTCAAAATATGTTTTCCAAGTGAGAGAGGGAGCCCACGAGTACAACTCCAGAATACTTCTCCCACCTTGCGCCTCAGTTGCCAATGCCTCCAAGGCAGGTGCTGGCCATGGAGATGGAGCAGGGCCCAGGGCCTGTGCCCTCAGCGGTGGAGAAGGAGCTCTCTCCTGGGGGAGATCCAGGGCAGCTAAGAAAGGTGCTGTATTCCGGGCACGTCAGCTCTGCACCTGACCTTACCACTTCCACCACCAGCACTCACACTGCCTAGTTTTTCCATTTAATTCTGTTAAACTATCAGAAATTCTAGCAATTACTGAGAGACTCATTTGGGCTAACATGCATCCTGTTTATTTGTTTATAAAAAAGTAAATGTCTGTAGGGTGGATATTAAGTCGATTGGTAGAAGGTATGAGTTAGCTCAGAAGTTGTTTCTGTGAACAAAGACCTGGCCAAAAGCTACCCAGGTTAGATTTCAGGTGGAGGGGTGGCTTAGGAAAGGAGGTCAGACATTTTGGAGTCTGGAGTATTAATGTGCAGGTGACCTCATGCCCAAGTGGATTCCACTTTCCAGATAAGTGCTTTGAAAAGGTGGAGAGTGCTGGGGCCCTGGGGAAAGAGGTGTCAAAATGGGGAGACAGATAAAAGGAGAGAGGCGCTCCCTGCTCCTGGGGGGTTGGGCAGTACCCTCCCCCCAGGCTAAGTAGTCAGGCACAGGCCAGCCAGAGACCTCGTTTGCCATCTAGGAACTACCTTTCTGGAGCTGCACAGGCAGGGCGACTTTCAGAGGAAGAGAATTCATTGCTGGGTTGGGGATGGCCTCTGTTCCATTTTGAAATATTTCCTTGGCTCCCAGGAAGGATCTGTTAGACTCTTCCTGAGGTTTTGACAAATTCTCTATATTTTTCAAATACTTAAATATCTATTCAGCTGACATCTTAATCAGTACGACTGTCAGAACATCACTTGAATTTCTGACAGGTGACACTGAAAAAAGCAAAAGCAGGTTTATTTGTAGGTAACCTGCTTGGCTCCTGCTGGGCTACATTGTAATTTCTCCTTGTATTAACTTCTGATCAAATTCCTGAGTCAGAAGCATAGATTAGAAGGGAACTCAGGGAGCACAGAGCCCAAGTTCCTTATTCTAAAATGAGGCATCCTTGCCCTTGAGTTGCGACGCACTGAGGACTCAGTGCCTGGCAGAAACATGCAGGGTTTGTTCCTGGCTGAGAGGATGAGCCTGGGCCTTTACTAAAATGGTCAGACCAGATCTCTCACATCTTTGCCCTGAGGACTGGACCCCTTTTGTCCTCCTCTGGCTATGCTTCTGCCCATGGACTGAGGAGTCTGTGGGCCAAGGGCACTTGCCACGCCAGGCGCCCCAAGCCAGAGGGGCATTTGTCTGTGGAGTGTGAATGGAATGTGGGTAGGCAGGATGGCATGACCACATAGGGGTGTGTGAGTCACGTGTGGGGCTAGGGTTGGGCAGAGAAGGGGGACAGGCTGTAGCTTCGGCTGGAAGCTGGCTCCCCTGTGCCACCACGTTCTTGCTGCTGCTCCAAAAGATCCTAGAATTTCTAAATTTACACCTGGCTTTTCAGGTTGTGCAGAAGGTATATCAAGATAAGAAGATAAAAACTATTTTAAAGTTCTTAGCTTGATTGATAATTTTAAAACATCTAGACATAAGATATGTAGCCCTCATTCTCTTGTTCCAGATGCCTTAAATGTTGGGAGATTGTCACTTGGAACCTTGAGGAACGGTATTGGAGAAATGGAAATTGGAAATGGTAGGCATTCCTGGATGTTGGATTTGGGCAGTTATTTGTATCCCTTGCTGTGGTGGCTGAATTGTCAGTCCTTTTAGGCAGAAAGTGTCCCCATAGCCACTGCTAACTTTATATCCTATTCAGGCTATGAGCACTGCAGTCACAGCTCCTAGGAGTCATTTCTTGGCAAGGACTGGCTGTATTCCCACATCAGAAGTGGCTATTTGTCATGGCTACAGAGTGGACTAGGAATTGGCCGGGCTGTAGTCACATCCTAGCAACTCAGGGCCAGACTAGGTGGCCTGTGGCCTTCCCTTTTGGGTGCGGAGTCCTCACACCTTCTTGTATTTCCTTTCCCTCTTCTCCACGGCAGGCAAAGACACCAAGGTGCGCTGGGGTGAGGTGGGGAGAGAGGGTGGGCTCTGCTTCCTTTCTGTCTTCCAATTTAGCTTCCTGCTTCAAATCCCACCCACACCCTGATTTTAGCCAAAGGCCATTTCTCGAGTAAACATTTCTCATGTAAGATAAGGGTGGAGAACTTGTGCCCCAACCTCTCAACCCCCTGGCTGCTGTCTGCACCTTCCAGCTCTCTCCAGGGTCTTATGTCTGCCTGCTGTAGCCATGTTTTGCACATAAATTCTGATGTTCCCATAAAAGTCGCCTGCCATCCTATCTCATCGGTTTACTGCGTCTGAGACTCTGAGCTTGACAGACACACAGATGAAGGAGGCACTGCAGAGTCCCCAGTGTATGTGAACAAATTTCTGCTTTGCAGTCTCCTTCAGAAAAAGCTACATCAGCCCAGGTCGCAAACAGGAACGTCATTTCCCTGTAGGAGTGTGCCTTCGTGCAGGAAGTGACCTCACAGGCCCCCTACCCACCCCGTCCCCTGAATCCCTTCCCCTCAGCGCTTTGATGCCCAGGAAATAGAGTCCTGCTGCCATGTTCTCCCTCTGTGGTCCTGGCCATGAGTTAAAGTTCCTGAGGGAGGAAAGAAAGGTCCCATTCACTCCCACCCCCCATGACTGAGGTGACTGCCCATCACTCACAGAGGCATCCTGGGGAGCAGCCCCATTCCACAGTCCTCTCTCCTTTGAGGCCGCCTCAGCCATGGGGACCAGCGGTGTCTGTGCCGCTCTGCTGCAACTTCCTTTCCACCTTAGCTGCTACCCGACAGCGGCGGTGTTTTGTCTTTCTCAGAGCTGGGCAGTCTCTGACCCTGGTTCACTGCACCTCTCTCCTGGCACTCCTCCCAGGCAAGCCCTCCTATAAACACAGGCTGTGTGTTCTGCCCACTGCCAAGTTAGCACACACGCTCTGGGTAAAGGTACATCAGATAATGGCATCTGTGGCCAAACCCCAGTCCCGCTGCTGGGAAGGTCTGTGGAGGGACTGCAGGGCCTGGTAAGAAGCCCACGGGGGAGTGTGCTGCTGGCTCCTCTACTGAGGCCCCTCCAGGGAGAGTCCAGCACCCCAAAATTCGCCTGTGTCTGCTGTCTCTTGGCATGAGTGAATTCCCATCTTTGACCCCTATGGGGTCCTTGGGGATCCAAGTAAACAGAGGCCCCCAGAGCTCCCCAGAGGAGGTTCCTGCAGCTGCTTCAAAGCCTCGACACAGCCTGGGCATTCTCCATGTCTCCTACAGTATCAGGTAAGGCCATGCCTCTTTTGCCTACTGGGGACTTGGAGCTGGGCTTTGTTTGAGTTGTGGTCATGATCCGAGGTGAGTGGGTCTTTGCTGGCTTTCCTCACTAATGAGGGCCATGTGTGGAGGCTTTGGGCTCCCTCCTCAGTGGATCAAGGTGGAGAGAGGAGAGGGGAAGGGCTGCCAGTGGTAGATGAGGAGCAGTGGCGAATGGCCCCCCTTTTGCCCATGGGAAGACCTGGAAACTATGATAGTGAGGCAGCTGTGCTCTGCTTTGTGCCCCTTAATCCCTTCCTGTTGTGTCCCCCTTGTGTACAGCCTGCACAATGGGGATGGAGAGGGCTTGGGGCAACACAAAGTGTAATGAAGCCTGGTGAAGGAATGCATGGTCAACTGAAGGAATAACTGTGTCCTGTTTATCTCCCACACAGCCAAAGAGGGCTGGCATTCAGAGCAGCTCCTGGGCAGGGGCTTTACAGAGATGATCTTTCTCGGTCACTACCTGCCGGTGTCTACAGAGAAGGACACTGAGCCTCAAGCATATTTAGGAACCTGTCCAGAGACAGCTGGGATCAGTGTTGGGGGACAAGGGTCTGGTCCCTTCTGGAACACCAAACCCCCTTTCCTTTAAAGCCACCAAGTTGGGCCCTGGTGGGACTTCACATCTTGCCGGCAGCAGTGGGACAGGCAAATCCTCAAAGATGTCTCCTTGTACATCGAGAGCGGGCAGATCATGTGCATCTTAGGGAGCTCAGGTAAGCTTGGGAAGGAGTACTTTAAATTTACACTCTCAGTGAGCATTCAGAAAAGGCTTTGGCTTGCTTTGAACATTGAGGAAATAGGTTTAAGTTGTAGCAAGAAAGCTACAAGTTTGATGCTAGAATGAAATCGAATGACATGTCTTACTGAATGGAATCTGGTACTAATGTGAAGCCTTCAGAGAGATCCTTAGAAAAGAATAAAGTCCTGCCTAACATGTCAGTTAATTCCTATTTCAAAGTATGGAAAGTACTGAGCATGGTGCCTGGCATGTAGGGGTGCTCAGTAAACACAATTCTCCTGATCTGTACCGTGCCAAGAGGCAGGACAAGGAATTAAGTAAGGACAAGGGTGCGTGCTCATTTAGTCCCATATTCATTATTTAAAAAATTATGTATTTCAAATAGGCAAGAATAGCAAATAATATAAAGAATGTTTATATATTAATATCTGGTTTTATCAAATCTTTTGACAAATTTTTTAATTTAAATTCAACTTAGGGGTGCCTGGGTGGCTCAGTCGATTAAGCGTCTGCCTTCGGCTCAGGTCATGATCCCAGGGTCCTGGGATTGAGCCCTGCATCGGGCTCCCTGCTCAGCTGAGAGCCTGCTTCTTCCTCTGCCCCTCACCCCGCTTGTGCTCTCTCTCTCTCTCTCTCAAATAAATAAACTTTAAAAAAAATAAATTCGACTTAGTTAACATACCCTGTAAGGCTTTGTCAGATCTTAACATTATACCATATTTGCTTCAGATCCTTTTGTTTTTAAGGAATTAAGTATTTACAGACTCCACTGAGGCCATCTGTGTGCCCATTTCCCACCTTTTCCTCCTCTTTCCTGGGATATCTACACTTGAGGCTGAATCATGGTTTGTCTTTGTGTCCCTGCATCAGCCGGTCATTGTCCTGGGAAGGTCTAGCCTCCAGAGAGGCAGCCCCTTATGTCTGAGGGCAGTGCCCCGTGGGGATCACAGCTGTGAGTCCTTAGCAGCTGGAGGACAGGTGCATTGAGTCTGATGAGGGGCTCTGTGTGGACACCACAGGGTCCACTACACTAGGTTATCTTACACAATTTAAGGATGAAAGATTCTGACAAATTGGCTTCAGAGGAGCTTCCTGATTGAGTTCTTGCTTGCACTGACATTGTTGAGATTTACTGGCACTACACACTTGCGTTACTCTCTTGAATAGCAATGGGTAACGCAAATCTGTGACAGAAGTCAAGCACGGACAGCATCGTTCGATCTGGGGAGTTGAAATCCATAGCCATTCCCCTGCTACAGCTGGTGAAAACTGGGTAACTAATAGTAGCATTAAGAGTAAATGAGAAGGAATTCATTGACTAAAACTGTTATATTTTGCTGAGATTTCCTGTCTGTTCCTATTTCCAATTTTTAACCTTTTTTTTTTAAAATTTTTATTTGTGGGGGGAGGGGCAGAGGGAGAGAATCTCAAACAGACTTCCCTCTGAGCTCAGAGCCCAACATGGGCTTCAGTCTCATGACCCTGAGATCGTGACCGGGGCCAAAACCGCAAGTTGGACATTTAACCGACTGAGCCACCCAGGTGCCCCAAACCATTTCTAATATCCAGGGCCATTCTAATTTCCCTTTTGATAATTATATTTTTCTTTAAGAAGAAGAAAAGCTGAGTTCTTCCTATAATTTGTTGTTTGTTGCCTGCCTTCTGTAGGATTAGGATGGTATATTGCACACAATAAAGAATGAACTCAGAAGGGTGTCCCACAAGCCAGTGTCACGCTTCATGCACATCTCAGGACAGTGGGTGGGAGGCCTTGATCTGGGAGCTCATGGGCTGGTTTCTGATGATACCTAATCATGGCTTTATGACAACATCTATCATTTTATATACTGACCATGGATTCACAGTAGACTGCAAGTTCCCGGGGGGTGGGAGCTTTGTCTTTGTTTTTTTTTCCCTGCTGTAGTCTCAACAGCTAGACCAGGGCTGGCCACATAGTAGGTACTTAGTAAATATTTGTTGAATCACTGAGTAAACAAATCAGTTGTATGAATTACTGTTAGTGTTTCACAAAATGATGATTTCATCTAACACAGGACTGTTTCTGAAATCGTTATCAGTGAGGCAAAAGAAGACTTAGGTGTTTAAAGTCTCATGACAAAATGGTATAATGCAAGTCTGCCTAGGGTCACCCAACACTCCAGGGGAGGGTAACTATATTTAACTCAATATTTGCTGTCATTTGGGACCTAGACTCTGGTCTGCTTTCTCCCTTGCAGAGGCCTATTTAGTTAAAATTTCTGTCCTTTTAGGGAAGGTAACCCCAAAGGTCATGGTTTTATTGCCCTGTAGGGCATTAACCTTTTGTTTTCTTTTTTCTTTTTTTATTGCGGGAAAATACACATCAAACTTACTATCTTAACCATTTTTTTTTAAAAGATTTTATTTATTTATTTGACAGAGAGAGACACAGAGAGGGAACACAAGCAGGGGGAGTAGGAAAGAGAGAAACAGGCTTCCCGCGGAGCAGAGAGCCCAATACGGGGCTCGATCCCAGGACCCTGGATCATGACCTGAGCTGAAGGCAGACGGTTAACGACTGAGCCACCCAGGCGCCCCATCTTAACCATTTTTAAGCATACAGTTCAGTAGTAATAAATACATTCACGTTGTTGTTCAACCCTCTCTACCATCCATCCCCCTAGCTCTTCATCTTGTAAAACTGAAACTCTACACTCATTAAGCAATAACGCCCCAATCCCCTTGCCCCCAGCCCCACCATTATACTTTCTGTCTCTATGATTTTGACTACTCTAACTACCTCATATAAGTGGAATCATATTTTATTTATCTTTTTTGTGGCTGGCTTATTTCACTTACCATAACGTCCTCAAGGTTCATCCATGTTGTAGCCTGTGTCAGACTTTCCCTTTTAAAGCTGAATGATACTCCATTGATATATATACCATATTTGCTTATCTATTCCCCATTAATGGACACCTGAGCTGCTTCCACATTTTAGCTATTGTGAATAATGAAATGAAGATGGGTGGACAAATATCTGTTTGAAACCTTGTTTTCAATTCTTTAGGGTATTTATGAAGAAGTGAAATTGCTGGGTCATATGGAATTGTTTTTAAGTTTTTGAGGAACCTCAAAAACTTGTTTTTCACTGTTTTTCACAGTGGCTATACCATTTTATATTCCCACCCATAGTGCACAAGGATTCCAATTTCTCCACATCCTCACCAACACTTGTTATTTTCCAATTTTTTTTTTAAAGATTTTATTTATTTATTAGAGAGAGAATGAGAGATAGAGAGCACAAGAGGGAAGAGGGTCAGAGGGAGAAGCAGACTCCCCGCTGAGCAGGGAGCCCGATGTGGGACTCGATCCCGGGACTCCAGGATCATGACCTGAGCCGAAGGCAGTCGCTTAACCAGCTGAGCCACCCAGGCGCCCTATTTTCCAATTTTTTGATAGTAGCCATCCTAAAGGGTGCAAGGTGTTATCTCATTGCAGTTTTATCTCTCTTTTTAAAGATGTTGTTTATATTTGAGAGAGTACACACTCATGAGAGGGGTGGGCAGAGGGCGAAGCAGACTCCCTGCTGTGAGCAGGGAGCCCGATGTAGGGCTCCATCCCAGGACCCTGGAATCATGAACTGAGCCGAAGGCAGACGCTTAGTTTCTTTTGAGGCACAAAATTTTAAAACTTTCAATTTGTCTATTTTTTCTCTTGTTACTTGTACCTTTGGTGTCATATTCTAGGACATTAACTATTTCTGTCTAATTTTGCATCTTATTCTGAGCTTTTATTTTCTACTGATTATACATATTAGCTTCTTGTGCCCTTTTTTTCTTGTATTCTTTTTTTGAATGAACTTTTCCACTCTGCTAGTCCTTTCATTAATGAGTTAATAGATAGTTGAAATATCTTACAAAGAGAGACTGTATCAGCCATCCATTTCTTTTTTTTTTTTAAAGATTTTATTTAGAACGTGAGAGAGGGCGCATGGCAGGGGAGGGGGGCAGAGGAGCAGAAGGAGAGGGACAAGCAGACTCTGCGCTGATCATGAGCCCGACGCACAGCTTGATCTCACAACCCTGAGATCATGACCTGAGCTGAAATCAAGAGTCAGACACTTGACCGATTGAGCCACCCAGGCACCCCCAGCCATCCATTTCTATGTAAAAAGTATCCCAGAATTAGGTGGCTTAAAACAATAAAAGTTATTATTATCTCTCAGGTATGAGTCAGAAATTTGGAAGTGACTTTGTTGGGTAGTTCTGTCTGGGGTGTCTCATGAGGTTGCAGTCCGAAGCCTGCTGGGCTGCAGTCATCTGAAGGCTTGAGCAGGGCTAGAAAATCTTCCAGGGTGGCTCCCTTGCATGCTGGCTAGCAAGTTGGTGCTTGCTGTTGCTCAGTGAGAATGTGTCACATGAGAAGCAGAAGGCCCAAGAGAGAACCCTGAATGTCACCCAGAGGAGGCTGGGAAGGAGCAGCCAGACGAGCGGGATTAAACCAAGAGGATGAAGTAGCGTCAAAGCCAGAGGACAGAGATTTATAGAGAAAGGCAAGCAATAGTATAAATGCTGCTGAGAGGTCAGCACACAGGAAGGTGCCCACCAGATACGGCAACAAGGAAGCAACCTTGATGACCTCAGGGAGGTCAGTTTTGATGTTGTGATGCGATCCAGACTCCAGGATATTTGCAGCTTTTGTCAGAGTGGAGATTGGATCCCAGAAACGGAAGGCAAGGTTAGAACCATGTAAAAGGCCTAGAATCATGACTGGGAAATTTCAGAACATGTTTTGAAAAACAACTCAAATGATGTCACCTTTCATTCCCCCCCCCATTTCATTTCTTTACAGTCCCTCTCCTCTCTTCCCACCCTGACCTCTATTGAAGACGCTGAAGCTAACTCTGAGCTCGGTCAGCCATGGGTTAGATAAGAAGACCACTGCTATAGGAGCTTGGCTTATTCATCTTTGTACCCCTCATGACAACAGGCAGTTTCTTTATAATATTTGAACAAAAGATCTTCTCTGGTTTTGCACAAGTCATCATATCCTTGGTAGAATTCTCTTGCTATCTTTTCAGACTGTTCAGAACCTTCTGTCTATTTCCTCTGTTAATCTAACTTCTTAGGAGCCTGGTGATGCTGGTTCCTGTCTCCATTGACTCTCTGGGCTCATGTAGGTTTATGTCCACTATGAGCAGAAAGGACTGGCTGGTGCTTTATCCTAATGGTATCACCTAACTTCTAATCAGAGAAAAACCAAACCGGGGGAAAGCTCTTAGCAACAACCAGCTGGGTCATGCCCAAGGATCTCAGTGCAGGCTGAGGCCAACTTGATTTTACTAAAGGACTTGCTAGGCTAATGCTTCTCAGACTCTGATATGCATGGGAATTACCTAGGGATCTTAGTAGCAGAATGTGATTCAGGGGGCTGGGGCCTGAGATTCTGCATTTCTAGCAAGTGCTCAGGTGATGTTGCTGGTCTTCATATCACACTTCATATCAAGGCTCTAGGTAGTGTCCCCTACTTTGAGGAACCACCAGATGACCCCTGGGTGGGGGGGTTTCAGAAAGAAATTCAGATGTCCTAGATCCAAACTGCCTAAGTTTTCTTTTTATTCTGATCCTGTATTTTCTTTTTCAACTCAAAACAGCTGTAAAAGCCCATAAACAGGCAGACAAAGCCCCTCCAGTCCTGACTGGGATGAAAGAAATGGCTTGTCCCTCTGTGACTCAGGAGACAAGCCGGAAAGACTCATTGGTACCATGAGAGTTTGACCCAGGGTGCTATGGAGAGAGCAAGTCGGTGCTAGACCAAGGGTACACCGAGGGTCTGGGGATAGCCCAGCAATGCCTCATGGAAGGAGTCCTCTCGGGCCTTGTTTTCTTGTCTCACAGGCTCGGGGAAAACCACGCTGCTGGATGCCATGTCCGGGAGGCTGCGGCGCACGGGGACCTTCCTCGGGGAGGTGGTTGTGAACGGCCGGCCACTGCGCAGGGAGCAGTTCCAGGACTGCTTCTCCTATGTCCAGCAGGTGGGCACTTCCTGGGCCCCCGCCCCAGCCGCCCAGAGCCTGGTCTCGGCCTGGCCACGCTGATGCCTCCCGCCTCCCTCTCCCGCAGAGCGACACACTGCTGAGCAACTTGACTGTGCGTGAGACACTGCGCTTCGTGGCACTGCTAGCTGTGCGCCGCAGCTCCCAGGGCTTCTTCCAGAGGAAGGTGGGTAGCCCCGGGCCTCCTGCGGCCCTGTTCCTCGGGGGCCAACCGGTGGGGGCTTCGCACCACCCTTCCCTCCACTTGCCCACTTCCCCCTTCATTCCTCATCCCTTTAGTCTAGACCTGTGCTGTCCAGTACGGCAGCCACTGGTCACCTGTGGCTTTGAGCGCTTGCCACATGGCCAGGCCTAACTGAGATGTGCTATGAATGGGAAATACAGAATTTTAGAAACTTAGTCTGAAAACACAAAATGTGAAATATCTTACTAATTTTTAAAATACTCGTTACAGGTTGAAATAGTGTTTTGGCTGCACTGGGTTAAATATATTAAAATTAATTTCACTTGTTTCTAAAATGTGGCTTACATTATATTTCTACTGGATGGCGCTGGTTTAGGGACTGTTTTTGAATAAAAATGGTGGTTTTCCTCACTGTACTTTGCCCTGTTGAGACTTTTCTCAACTTTCTTTGAGGCATTTTGAATGTGCCTCATCCAAACTAGATTAAGTTAATGAAGGAAGGAATTATTGATTTGTCTACTCTTTCGAGGTTTCAATCTGTTCCTTTAAATGTATCTAATTTGGAAGTAGTCATAGGTAAGCCCATGGGGACCTTACCTGGAAATGTTGCCTCATTTCTGTCTAGACTGGAAACAGGGAACTAAGGATACGTAGATATGCCACCAATAAAGCAGGTATAGTTCCCTGGGAAATAGGCCCTCAGAGCCGCCAGAAGAGACCGGCAACATCTGCCTCAGAGGCTTCAGCAAAGCCACGGTGAGGTTCCACCTGGGCACACAAATTGTATCTGCAGCTCAGGCACCAGGGCTGGCCTTCTTTAATGCCACTGAGGCTCCAAGGAAATCCTCCATATCAGCTGAGGTACACCATTTTTATCAGGCATTGCTGAGTCTGTCATCAGGGACTTGCTCAATCTCTCCCTGGCATTGGACTTTCAGACAGGGCTTGGAGAGTGAAATCAGGTCTAAGCTGTGTCCCAAGTACCAGAAGATTTGTTTGATATAATGTTCAGGTGAGTAAAGGTCATTCTTCTCTTTGAGAGTCCTAGACAGTGCTGAAGGATAGCTTTTACTCCAGAGGAGTCTTAGCAAGGAGCGTGGCCCTCAAGAAGGACCATCAGCCTCACAGTGATGCCTAGCTCTGTTTCCTTCTTGGAGGTTACCTTAGAGTGCTCAGAAGGCATTGCAAGGGTCTTACTATTCAACTGGGTTATACAGGCATACCTCGGAGATACTACAGGTTTGGTTCCAGACCATGCAATAAAGCAAGTATGAAAATAAATAGAGTCAAGTGAGTTTTTTGGTTTTCCAGTGCATATAAGTTACGTTTACACTAATACTCCAGTCTGTTAGGTGTACAGTAGCATTATGTCTAAAAAAAGAAACCAATATACTTATCTTAATTTAAAAATACTTTACTGACACAGACACGAAGTGAGCAAATGCTGTTGGAAAAATGGTGCGAGTAGACTTGTTTGACACAGGGTTGCCACAAACCATCAGTTTGTAGAAAATGTGCTGTCTGTGAAGTGCAGTAAAGTGAAGTGCAATGAAACAAGGTGTGCCTGTGCTCTGAACTCTCATAGCTGGCTGGCATCAGTCAGGCTTTTTTCACACACAGTATTTCGCCGCATCCTTGGCATCATCCCTATGTGGGAGGCGTTATCTTCTGACACACAAGATTAAGATCAGACAGTTGGGAAGGGCAGAGCTGCAATGTGAACCCAGGCCCTCTAGCACCATCATGCCTCCCTGAGCTCTGGGATCTCCTGAGCCCCATTGTGATGATAGAAGATGGAGGTCTAGTTCAGCCCACACTGAGCACAGGCATGTTCACACGACTTGGTAGCCCTGACGGTGAGTGACAGAGGAGTCCATCTCCAGACTTTCTCTCTGCTTGCTTTAGTATTTCTGTCTCTAAAAAGGGCAGGAGAAGATCCTATTGGTATTTGGGTGGCAGAAATGCGGTCATAAACAGATTTTTCTGAGTTGGTGATCCACTTAATATCACATATCCCACTGAGAGAATGAATCTAAGAAAGCCACTGAGCTCTTCCCCACAAAATGCACATGTTTGCATAAATATTCAGAAAAATTCATGGATGCCTTGAAATTGATTGATGGCAAAAATCTTCCCCCTGGAGGCGCCTGGGTGACTTGGTCCGTTAAGCGCCTGCCTTTGGCTCAGGTCATGATTCTGGGGTCCTGGGATTGAGTCCCACATCGGGTTCCCTGCTAAGCAGGGACCCTGCTTCTCCCTCTCTCTCTGCTGCTTCCCCTGCTTGTGCTCTCTCTCTCTGTCAAATAAAACTTAAAAAAAAATTCTCCCTCTGGTAAATGTTCTTCTGGCACTGGCAGTCCCTAAAAGTTCTGCAAAAGTTCTCTCTGCTTGAAAGTACTTTCTGAGCAAATCAGTCCACAGGGTGTAAAATCCTGACAAAGTAATTTAGTGAGAAGGAAGTGGTGGTGATAATAGAGGACAGAGCACAGCAGATCTCTCCTCTGAGGAACCTGAACATAAAGCTGTGCTTGACACGGGCAGGCTGTGTCTGCTGGACTGTTGGCTAGTCCTTGAACTTCATGGACCACTTGAGAGAACCCAGACAGTACTCTCAGCCCCATCTCTGCCACTTGCTAATAGTGTGACCTTGGGCAAGTTATGCACGTCTCTGTGGATCTGTTTAATAATGTATCTCTCCTGGAGTTGATGTGAGGGATGAGTCAGTTTATCTGAGAACATACAGCATAGAGGTTGATGATCCCAATGCATCCCAAGGATCCCACGGGTTCCTTCTAAGACACTGTGAATTGCAATCCCAATAGTGTTTGCTAAACATGGGAGAGGCTTTGGAAAAGAGCATGGGACATATGAAACAGGTTAAATACATGTCTTCTCTGTCCATCCATCCCTTCTGAGCCTGGAGGGGCAGGCTTTTATTCCTTTCTTGCTGTTGCAGAGCAGATGAAGGGGATGCTCAGGAATCTGCCCTGGCTGGTGAGCACCTCAACCTGGCCATGTCAAGCAAAACTCAATTCCAGAATCCTTCTATGCTAATGGCAAAAGGAGAACCCTCTTTTTTCCAGAATAAATCATACTGGTTTATTTATGCATTTTTAACCTTGTTACTACTCCTTTGGATCTATTTCAGATGTATTCATTCTTTTAGTCAAACCTTCACCCATGCTGCTGATCCCACCGCTTGGCTCCACTGGAACTTTGTTCCACAGATATCCCCTCTTTTACTTCAGCCTATTGTTATTTTTTAATGCAGTGTTTTGTTTCTTTTTTCATTATAAAAGTAACACACTCTCATTAGAGGTATAGGGGAACGAAACTCATTACCATATATATAAGTATTTTCAGTCTGTTTCTAGCTCCTTTCCCCAGGGCCCTATGCAGATAAGGGTAATCAGCAAGGCAGGGCCAGAAAGAGAGATTTTTCAAAGGGTCTCTGGAGATAGGCTAAGCTGGGGAAGGAAAGGAGGGGAAGGGAAAGGCCACCTTTCTTGATTAGAAAGTCCGTAAAGAACTTTTCTAGTTGTTATTGTTGTGGGGGAGTTGAGGGAGGAGGAGTAAGGAGATGGTTTCAGGGAGTGGCAGAGTCTAAGATAAATAGAGTGAGGAGAAGTGGGGGACAGGACATTAAGTGTGGCTGCAGGTTATAAACTGGTCCCCTGGAAAGTTTTCAGAGAGAGTTAAATAAAGATTGGCATTGTTTTTAATTACTTTTGGTAGCTGGATCATATTTGATGCAAAAATCACACTGAGATTGGACCACACGGGACTCCAGGACTTATTTGGGTTACATAAGGACAGCCAAGATTCGTTCAAACCAAATTGGACTTTTTTTTTTTTTAACATATAAAATACTTATTATAATAAAATTACAAAAACCTAACACTTAAAAAAAACTGTATTGTACCTATGCCTTAAGGGGATTTTTCTGTATGCTGGACTTAATGCAGCATCTGAAAATGGGAGTCCAGTGACCTCTCCATTGTCCTGGTGAATTTCCCTGAAACAAATATAGTTTTTGCTGCTCTAGAGACCTTTGAAAAACAGTTATTCATTTTAACTTGATAACATGTATTATATTATGACTTAGACCAAATTGGGTTTTATCTTAATAGGCATGTTCTCCCTAGGGTTTGGTGAGTCTGAAAGTGGCCTGAGCACTCAAGGGAAGCATGCTGCCTCTCCCATGCCATCTGCACTCCATGAATTGGAGCAGCAATCCAGCAGTGGCCAGCCTTCCTGGACTTTGTGTCTCCTATAGGTGGATGCAGTCATGGTGGAGCTGAGTCTGAGCCATGTAGCAGATCGACTGATCGGCAGCTACAACCTTGGGGGGATTTCCAGTGGCGAGCGGCGCCGGGTCTCCATCGCAGCCCAGCTCCTCCAGGATCCCAGTAAGTGGGTCCCAGAACTGCTACCTGGGCATCTTCCATGTGTCTGCAGACATTTTCTGTCCTTTTTTTTTTTTTTTTTACACTCTCCATTTAGAAAGGGGTTTGTGTGGAACTGACGTTACCGAGGTTTTTCAAACTGGGGACCCAGTTTCTTTGGAAATACTACATAGTTCCTGATGCTATCCTCTCCAAGTACAAAACAGCTCTTGGGCTTGGAAACACTGCATTGTGGGGGCTATGGAAAGCCAATGAGTTTTGGTGTGCCTAGAAGAACTTTAAGAAATGGCAGGAATTAAAGCAGGACTTTGAATGATACACAAAAAAGTATGTATTTTGGAGGAGCTATCAAGATGGGGTAGCCAGTCACCTGCCTCTCCTGCCAGGTTTGGTTATTCTCCCCACCACTGGGGAAATCTCAGCTCTTACAAGCACTTGGAAAAGGACGTGCTGCACCTGGATACCCCACTGGGGCACACTATGACTGCTTGCTCTTCAGATGGTGGTTGGTCACTAGAAGGCAAAGAGAGATGCCCTTAAGAGCCCTTCTCACCTCCTGGGTAGAAATAACCACAGTTGAACCCTCTAACGAATCTAAATGCCTATCCCAGCTCAGACTTTGTTTTATGGGGCAGAGTTTTTTGCCGTGCAAAGACCCTGTCAGTGTTGGAAAGTGCTCCACGTGAAGTGAGGTTATGTCTTTTTAACCAGCCTCTTCTCAGCCTTTTGAAAACAACTTGGTGCCCACTCGCCATCCCTTGTTCTTTGTCATGATCCTCTGGACAGAGCCCAAACAGTCCATAGTACCATGTGAAAGGCCTGATCTTGTTGCAGCCCTCTGCCATCAAGGATTAAGGCCAAGATGTGCTCTGGAGCTGGGAGGTGGGTCCTCTGAGGTCAGGTTCCTTCGCTTGGGCTCAGGCTGAAAACCAGTTTACATGCAGGTACTTCCCACAGTGCAGTGTTTGGATAGGGTAAGATGGGATGGGGTAAGGCATCTCAAAAAGGAGCTGTTCAAAATTCTGAGTTTAGAGTCCATAGCCCAGTCTTGTCAGTGACTCAGAAACCCAACCCTTCCTTGCCTGCAGAGGTCATGCTGTTTGATGAGCCTACTACAGGCCTGGACTGCATGACAGCAAATCAGATCGTTGTCCTCCTGGCAGAGCTGGCTCACAGGGACCGCATTGTGATTGTCACCATCCATCAGCCACGCTCTGAGCTCTTCCAGGTGAGGGGGAATCTTGTTCCTGCTTAACTCGTCAAGGGTGGATAGATGTATGTGTTGAGCTGGGGATCATGAGGTTGAGAGGGGCTCAACCAGAGCCCTTGGGGCCAATAGCTCCTGATATGGGAAGGGCACCTGCCATGTACCAGATACTTTCTACGCACTAGTTCATTTAGTCCACACAACAGTCCTATGAGGGTGGGTATCAGTATTGTCACTTTACAGAAAAGAGGGAGACTTAGGAATGATGCAAAATTGAGTCAAGGATCTGAGATTAAATAAACATCTAGTCCAAGGTCACTCACTCAGGAGCATGGCTGGTCCTCAAACCCAGAACCACTGGCCAGGTCCAGGAGTTCTTTTCCACTCCAGACGTGATGCTGGGCCCAGGCCAGATGCAGCACAATGCACACTGGCAACGGAGGCTAAGAAAAATAGGGACACACTCTGTGTGTCTCCAGTGGCCACAGTAAGAATCCTCATGCATGGCTGAGATCAACAGGGACTGACTGCTTGGAAATTTATTCTCCAGAGGATATGGTGACCTGATATACACTAATGCATTGATTTTCTCATCAGCTCTTTGATAAAATTGCCATTCTGAGCTACGGAGAGCTGGTTTTCTGTGGGACACCAGCGGAAATGCTTGATTTCTTCAGTGGCTGCAGTTACCCTTGTCCCGAACATTCAAACCCTTTTGACTTTTATAGTAAGTTTTTTTTCCACATTTCCCATCGTGAATGTTCATTCAATTTTATCATCTCAGATTTCTGCCTAGATGTCAACAGCACTAGTGGATTTTATTCTTGCTTTTGTTTTGGTGATTTCACTCTTTAAGGAGTTAATTTGGCCGGGTCAGTTAACTTGCCATAGACGACCTATCAGAATGAGGTGGGGGACCTCTCTTAAATTGCTGCATGTCCACTTTGTCAGAGAAAAATCAGCTGAGTTTCTAAATCCTCCCAGACAGCCCCAGTTGAAACCTCAAGGCCTTGCTGGTAGCTTTAAAATATTCTGATTTTATAGGTGGGCGTGATCACCAGGTGTTACTCTGATGGGATGAGGCATTAGCTACTACTCCTGAATCAATGATGAAGCATATATTATTAGCCATTGTGCATATATATATGCGTTTAAAAACATATGGGTCATTTCTTTTGGGAAAAAAAACTAGTGGACCTGACATCAGTGGATACCCAAAGCAAAGAACGGGAAATAGAAACCTGCAAGAGAGTTCAGATGATTGAATCTGCCTACAAAGAATCAGCAATTTATCGCAAAACCTTGGAGAATATTGAAAGAACAAAACACCTGAAAACATTACCAATGGTTCCTTTCAAAACCAAAGATTCTCCTGGAGCTCTCTCTAAACTGGGTGTTCTCTTGAGGTAAGAGCTTCACCCCGTTTTAGGTGGTTCAACATCCACCAATAAAAGAAAAAGAATTAAAACAGGTTGTTTGGCTTTCAGGAGAGTGACAAGGAACTTAATGAGAAATAAGCTGGCGGTGATGATGCGTCTTGTTCAGAATCTGATCATGGGTTTGTTCCTCATCTTCTATCTTCTGCGGGTCCAGAACGATGTGCTGAAGGGTGCTGTCCAGGACCGTGTGGGGCTCCTATACCAGCTTGTGGGTGCCACCCCATACACAGGCATGCTCAACGCTGTGAATCTGTGTGAGTGCCTGTGTCCAGAAGGTGCACCCCAGGGACGGGGAGGGCACTTCCTCTCTTCCTGATTATCTCCCTTCTCCAGCTGGCATCTTGCAAGACTCCATCATTATAAGAGTACTTTGCTGAGCTAAACTTGGTCTTCTCCAGATTCTCTCCCTGGGGAAGGGTTAACTACTGAGTTACTAACATCGTAGTTGAATTAGTTCACCAAGTAGATCTCCCTGAGGGTCTAAGGATCCAGGGAAACATGGAGTTAGGAGCTGCTGATGGGGCAGGGTTTGGGAAGGGTTTTTTAAAAGATCATTCTTGGTATTCCTATCTTTGCCATTAGGATGTGCAGCCCCTGGGGGCCCAGATACCTGCCAACTTTGCACTATTCTTTTTGGAGCCGATTTTAGGACAGCTAGCACCTAATTTTCAAACTCCGTGAGAATCCAGAAATAATACCTAGTTGTCTGATGTTCTGTGCCAAGACCCTGCACAAAAAGAGGACAAACTACCTCACATCATTCATGGCCCTTTTGCACATGTGTTCTTGAATTTGTGACAACCCTCCCCTGACTTAAGAGAGAAGGAAATAAATTTTGACAGCTTTTGCAACCATATTGTAATTCATAGAGTTCTGTGGTGGGAAGTATTTACAGTTCTATGGATAGCAGGTTCCCTCTTTCCATGACTAGGGAGCCCCAGCTGATCCCCACCACCCAGCCCTGACAACTCAAATTCAGTTTGGGCTAGCCCTCCTTCCCTTAGCTGTGTGGTGACCGGCTATTCTGAAACCTGCCTTCTGTGCCCAGTTCCTGTGCTGCGAGCTGTCAGCGACCAGGAGAGCCAAGACGGCTTATACCAGAAGTGGCAGATGCTGCTGGCCTACGTGTTGCACGTGCTCCCCTTCAGTGTCCTTGCCACCATGATGTTCAGCAGTGTGTGCTACTGGTAAGGGGGTGTTCAGGGGTGTTCAGTCCTCCTGGGTCAGGCCTCCTGGCAAGTTCCAGATGGCCACTGGTACTGATGGAGGTGGAGCTCCAGGGTGAACAACTCCCTCTTCTTGGCCCTGGAGGTCTGTCTTTGCCCATTAATGCCCAGTACAATGTCCTGTGCTTCCGGACAAATAAAAAAACCCAGCTGGGGCCACATGGGACCTGAGAGCAGACCCGCAGGACTACATGGTGCCAGGGACTGGCATGTCTCACATACTCTGCAGGGTCTGGGCAGAGAAGATTGCCCTGAAGTTGTTGGGATCCAGGTGCAGAGGCAGCAAGCAGCTGCCAAATCTCAATGAAGCATGGTTCTTGGGCTCCTGTCAGCTGGAGTGGCAACCCACCTGTGGCATCACGGTTGGGCTGGCGTGAGGGGGCTTGAGCAATGGGAGAGGGGCTATGGGAAGAGGCACTGGGGCACCACGAAGCATCCCTGATGCTCTTAGGTGTATAGACATTGCTGCTTTTTGTTTCTTAGAGCTGTTCAAAAATATAGGTCTTGGTGCAGGTGATTAGAAGTTGGTATCATTCTGGAGAAGTGACAGAGGCAGAACCACTTGCTCTGAGTTAGCAGGGGGGTGGTTTCCCCGCTGAGGGTGATGGCAATCATCACCTGTAAAGGTGGTGCTATAATCATCCTTGTTTGTAAAGGAACAAACTGAAGTACAGATGGGTAAGTATCTTCCCCATCTCACATCCATTATCCCAGTTAATTACAAAGGAGAACAAGAGCCTGTTTGGTTGAGAGAACAACTTGAGAGATGAACATCATTCCAATGGATAGAAAAGGGAGCAAGGGCTTAAGTTCAGGAGCAAAAACATGTAAGACCTTTCCAGAGAAAAGATTCAGTTGTGCTGTGGAAATGAAGGATTGGAAGCAGTAGTGAAAGATAGGACTGGCCCCTCCAATGGGGGAGGTGTGGAATGCCAGGCTAAGGAGCTGAAGTGGACTTGATAATGGGACATAGGAGGGGATTTTGAACCAGGGAGTGGCCCATCTGTATTGGACTCTGGAGGATGAGGCTGGCACGCCTTGGCAGCAGACTGGAGTTAGGGCACGGACAGCAGACAGCCCAGTGAGGAACCTTGGCAACAGTCTGTGGGAAGGATAGAGGCCCAAACGGAGAGAGCAGCAGTGGCAACAAAAGGGGAGATCACTTTGAAATTCTGGGAAAGTAGAATCGAATGGGCTCAGAAACTGAGTGGATTTGTTGGTCGTAAAGTCATGGATGATGCCTGAGTTTTCCACCTAATGGAGTGGGATGGTGACAACATCATTATCAGGTTTGCCAGAAAAGAGAATGGATTTGAACACATTGCATCTAGCATGCTACAGGACACGCGACTGGACATGTCAATCTGAGGTTTGAGTGGTGGGTTGCAGCAGAAAGAAAAAGAGGAGTGAGGGGGTAAGGGCCTGGGAATGGATTTTATAGGAGAGAGTACTGGAAGGGGTGGAAGCAGTCTGAGTGTAAACCTCAGGAGGCACATTCGGAGGGTGGAAAGAGGAAAGCAATCCAATGGCAGAAGCAGAGGTGGTGGTCAGACAGGGAGAAGGAGAAGCAGAACCAGGCAGCATCAGAGAAGCTGGGGGAGGAGAGCATTTCAAAGAGGTGTAATATATCCATTCAAATTGTAGAGCTTCACAGAGATGAGGCATCAGATCAGGAGGTCTTTGGCAGTCTTCCCAAAAGGAGCTTCAGTAGAGTGGTGGGGTGCAAGTCAGATTCACAAGGGAACAAGTAAGGAGGGAGAGGGAAGAAGCAGATGCTGCTTGAGAAGCTTGGCGGTATAGGGTAGGATGACGAGAAGGCAATGGCACACATGGTTCTCAGGCTCAGGGAATGGATGTTTTAGGATATGGTAAATAAGACCGTCAGGAAAAACCATTAGATTGAGAGTTGATGAAACTATATCAAAAGAGAATAATTCACAGATCAAGTTTCCAGGGTAGTGCAGGGTAGGGATAGGTGAATCAGGATAACATAAAATCAAGGAGCAAGTAGGTAGGATCCACTTGGCAAAGATAGGGGGAAAAGAGAGAGCGAGAGAGAATGAGCACAAGACATGGAAGATGAAAAGTTAGGGAAGATAAAGATAGCGAGAAATTCATAAAATGGGAGATGAATCCATCTGAGCACTGGGAAGAGAGTTTGACGTTGGGGAGGGGGTAATTTAAAGTAGAGGTATATATTAGACATGAGGGACATGCCATTGGAGCCCAATAAGCAATGAGAAAAAATTAGGGGTCTAGGAGTCAGGTGAGGCAGAGTGGATCTGATTAGTACAGTAATATGCCCTGTTCAGCACACCTTCAGGGAGAGAACTTAAGTGAAAGACCAGGGCTCCCAAGGTATGGGGATTGGTAAAGCAAGGAATAGCAGAAGGGGGTAAGGACCTGAGGCAGCTTGGGGTTTGGGGAAATAGGAGACAGGAGGGACGACATGATCAGAGAGAGCACTTTCAGAATCTGAAATCTTGGGAAAGAGGAAGAGATCTGAGTAACATTTAAGTCCAAGATTTGGTGAATGATGAAGATTAGGTGGGTGGAGCCACTGGAACTGATCAGGTTACCTAATTAGGAGGCACTGATGACTGATCAGGAAGGTTAAAAAGACCTTGAGGATAATGATAGTGGACAGGAATGCAAAGACTGACCGTGGTCCAGATGCTCTAAAATCATCAAAAGTGAGAGAATGTCATAAAAGCCACAAAGGATTGCACTGGGAAAGAGAATTAATAGTACAAGCAAACTTCATGATTTGCATAAGAGGAGAGATAGATGGCCTTGGAGAGTGGTCAGGAGGCATGCATAGAAGACATGCCAACTCCTTTTCCTTACTCTACAAATGGAAGAAAGAGCAACCATGTCTAACGGTTGTTGAGGACATGCTATCACCAGGGAAGTGTATTTAGTGGAAGGAATATAAGAGTTAAGGGGCATGGATGTAGGGAGGTCTGTTTACAAGAAAATGATCAAATCAATGGAAGGGGCTGGTAGAATAAAAGACAAGAATGGAATGGAACAGACCTGGGAGGGCTAATTCACCAGAGGATGGTGGCAGTGAAGGGTTTACATGCTGGCAGCAACCCCACATAACAGGGATGGAGGGGCAGGGAAGCAGGCTGAATGAGCCCTTAGCACTGGGAGAGTAGGCTAGCTAAGGTAGGAGCAGTGCCAGCTAGGCAGAACATGGTTATTTATGGAGAAGCCTGGAGAGTTCAACCACTCTACTAATTGCCCCGGTTGTGACCACTGTTCAAGCGTTAATATTTTTTTTAATCTTTTTTTTTTTTTAAAGATTTTATTTATTTGACAGAGACACAGCGAGAGAGGGAACGCAAGCAGGAGGAGTGGGAGAGGGAGAAGCAGGCTTCCCGCCAAGCAGAGAGCCTGATGCGGGGCTCGATCCCAGGACCCTGGGGATCATGACCTGAGCCGAAGGCAGATGCTTAACGACTGAGCCATCTAGGCACCCCGTGCGTTAATATTTTCCTCTGAGAACTGAAGGAGCTGTAAAAGGGAAAAGGTGGCACACTAAATTGGAGCCAACAGAAACAATCTGTGCTAATGAATGGTGTCAAAGTTTGGCTCTGTTCCTAAAAGGCCTTTCAGAGGGGAGTTGGGCTTACCCTGCAAACTCTTCCCACCCACTAACCACCATGGACTTATTCATAGAAGGCACGTGTGGTATTTTTCTTAAATAATCCTTGGAGAGGAAACTAAAGACCTTCTGTTTTTCTAGGACTCTGGGCTTATATCCTGAGGTTGCCAGATTTGGATATTTCTCTGCTGCTCTCTTGGCCCCCCACTTAATTGGTGAATTTCTAACTCTTGTGCTACTTGGTATGATCCAAAACCCAAATGTGGTCAACAGCATAGTGGCTCTGCTCTGCATTGCTGGGATACTTGTGGGATCTGGATTAGTAAGGTAAGATTTGACAATTCAAAGGATTTTCATTGATGATTTGTGGTTAATGATCACTCGATAACAAGAAATTAAAAGAGAAATTGCAGAGGAGAGCTATGTGATACTGGCTAAAGGTATGTATTACATTATGGTCTGGAGTGTTTATAGTGCTTGCTTATCATTATTATTTAGATCTGTTTACCATTTGTTCAGTAAAATGTCTTCACACTGAGAATCAGGAAATGACAATTTAGGCATGTTATTCATATGATTCACGTGTAGTAACAAGAGGAGGAAAACCAATACATCCTCCAGAAAAACAGCCTATTATTACAAGGTAAATAGCATGCATTTAATTCATTCCTGCCCTGGCACTGTGGAGTGTCTCTATTCTGGTTCTCAATTCCCACTTTTAGGAAGTAAGACCAGTCAGATAAGAGCTTGCATGATAAAAGACTGACCAAGAAAATACCAGGACTAGAAGGACACACACACTAAATGTTAACCGTAATTATCTCTGGGTAGTAATTGATTTTAATTTTTCTTCATATTTTCCTTTGTTTTGTGAATTTCTATAATAAAGCACTTTATAAGCAAGAAAAAACATACACACACATACATTTTATTTTATTTATTTTTAAAGATTTTATTTATTTATTTGACAGAGAGACAGCGAGAGAGGGAACACAAGCAGGGGGAGAGGGAGAAGCGGACTCCCTGCGGCGGGGCTCGATCCCAGGACCCTGGGATCATGTCCTGAGCCGAAGGCAGACGCTTAACGACTGAGCCACCCAGGCACCCCTCTTACATAATCTTTAATGAAAATGAGATTGTACTATTGTGAAGGAGTTGTATGCATTTAACGATATAATGTGGACAGTCCCGTGTCAGTAAATTTAGATCTGTGGTTCCTTCCGCTCTGAAATACTCCAAGGATTTCTATGACGTAACCTTATTGTCCCCCCGTGTCTTTCACAGACCTGTTTGTGTCCCTTTGCCACCCACACGAAGCCTGCCTGCTGTTCCCTTGGCTAGCTCAGCTCTCTCTGAAACCCCGTCATAGGCTGCTTCTGTTGCAGCCTTCCTTTCAAAGGACGGCAGCCTCTGGAGGCCAGTAGCTGTGCCTCATTTGCCATTACAGTTCTCAGTGGCTGGCCCACGGCCTTGAACCAAATAGGTTTGCAGAAAATGTGTGCTGAATTGAGTGAATGAATGATGACTGTCTCTCCCGGGACCGCCCTCACACTGGAACAGTCACCATCTTTGGGTTTCTTCTTTGCTGTCAAACCACAAATGCGTGTGGAGCCTCTACATGTAGTATTCCACCCTGTGTGGTGCACTGCAAAGGAAGGCACATGGTTCCTACCTCAAGGAGGTAACTTTCTAGCCCGCCTCTCATGACCATCATCCTGTAGCAGGCCTTTGTCATCTTACACTTGAACTACTGCTGTCACCGTCTCCCTTTTGCTTTTCTGCTTTTCCTAATCTGCCCTTATTATGGTCCCTCTACTTGCTGGTGCCACATTAATTTTCTTAGAACACTGATTTTATGGTCTTTCAATATCAACCCTCTGCAAGGGTCCAGAACAGCAGGTTCTTGGCTGTCATTCCAAACTCAGCTTCAGATCCTCTGTTGCAGCCCTTCTGGCCCATTCAGTCGCATATGCAGTCCTTGACGTGCCTGTGCTCACACTGTTCTTCCTTCCTAGAATGTCCTTTCTCTTCCCTCCTTCTTCCCCAGGTTCCTACCTAGCCTTTCCAATTCGCAGCCTCTCAGTGGGCAGATTGAATTTTGTGCCTTAGAACATTGCCAATAACTGAAAGTCATGGGGTTTGGGGGTCACATGGGGAATAGGTAAAACCATAAATACTAAGTACAAGAATGTCATGGACATGTAGTGCTGGATTATTATACTTGGCACAAATCGTTTACCGCTGTGTATTTTTATAGTCTTAAGGATATATATTCTATGTCCTCAATCACATTGTGAGTTCTCTAGGGGTAGGACACTTTTTTTGAATTCCTCAAGCACTTAGAACTAGTGCCTCGCAAATAGAAAGAATTTAATACATATTTGTTGATTTATAGAAGTTATATAGTGGACAGAGGAGGCCATAAGTCAGCAAAAAGGCTGAAGAAGGGACAGAGTTCATTTTCACAGCGAAAACCTGCTTGGCTCTCTCCATCCTCTCCCCTTGTATCATAGTTAATTCTCACTTCACACACTAGCTACTTCAAATCTCTGTTTAATCACAAATATCCTTCTCTAAAGTGATGTGTTAGGTGTGTTTTCTTTCATGTTTATATCAGTGGTGCTTATCAAAAAAAAATTAGACACCAATCCATCATCAGGGGATTGTTAAATTAAGATTTCTACTGTAATGGACCACCAAGCTATAATTAAAAATGATGGAGTGCTTTGCTTACTGACTTGGAAGGCTGCCTGACACATATGTTTGGTTGAAAAAAAGCAGGTTAGAAAAGAGCATGAAGACTGTGATTCCACTTACGTAAAATTTTATAAACACAATACATGTTACACGTATCACCAAAATGTTAACCATAGTTATTTCTGGGCAGTGGTGTATCTTTATACTTCTCCGTACTGTTTTTCACAGTGAGCAAAATTTTTATAATGAGAGATAAAAACTATATTCAAAATGGGAGACACAAAATGAGGGTTGCCTTTCTCTTCATCTGGTAGGACCTGTTACCAGAGCCTACTGAATTTCAGCTCACTCTCTTTTTTCTTAGAAACACAGAAGACATGTCCATTCCTTTTAAAATCTTCAGTTATTTTACATTCCAAAAATACTGTTCTGAGATTCTTATAGTCAATGAGTTCTATGGACAGAATTTCACTTGTGGTAAGTACTCTATTTTGGAATATTATTTTTTTTTTTTACATATTACTCTGAGGAAGCAGTTTCCTGAGGGAAATGTATTTTTTAAGTAAAAGCTGTATTTTATAATAGATTTAAAACCTTGTTTTGAAATAAAGGTCTAACAGTTTCTCTGATTTTTAAAATAAAAGTCAAGTTAGTCACCTGTCAAAGGCCCACAGCTTAAGGCCACTCTGATGTTTTTAGAAAACAGTAGACCTGGGGCACCTGGCTGGCTCAGTCGGAAGAGCATGCAACTCTTGATCTTGGGATTGTAAGTTTGAGTCCCACGTTGGGGGTAGAAATTACTTAAAATCTTTAAAGAAAAATGATAGACCTAATATACACCAAGGTAAACTCTAGTTCTAGTATACTCTGGGTAGAATCAGTTTTTTTGTTTTTGTTTTTCTAAGATTTTATTTATTTGAGAGAGAGAGCATGTGTGCATGCGAGTGGGAGGCAGATAGAAGGAGAGAACCTAGAGCAGACTGAGCGCAGAGCCGTACACGGGGCTTGACCCCAAGATCTTGAGATCAAGACCTGAGCTGAAACCAAGAGTGGGATGCTTAACCGACTGAGCCACCCAGGCACCTAGAATCAGTTTCTGTACCTACTGAACAGAACAGGTTGAAGCAGGTTGCAGTGGCTTCTTGTTCCCTAAAAACGTATGTAGTACATGGCTGAGTAAATCCACTTTTGGCAAAAGTCTGTTCCCCAATCCCACGAGAGGCAGTGGGAGTATAACAAGGTCCTTGTGGCCATGGAAATCCCAAGCCCACTTCACAAAGGCAACTAAAGAACAGGGCAGAATTTAGTAGTTCTAAATACAGGTGGTAAAAGCAGTAACCTTAGGATATTCAGTACTAGATGATCGTAAGTGATCATGATTTTTATCAGTACTATGGTAATGAGTTTATACCCCCAAATGGAAATAAACCCACTTTTTTTTTTTTTTTTTTTAAGATTTTATTTGACAGAGACACGGCAAGAGAGGGAACACAAGCAGGGGGAGTGGGAGAGGGAGAAGCAGGCTTCCGCTGAGCAGGGAGCCTGATGTGGGGCTCCATCCCAGGACCCTGGGATCATGACCTGAGCCAAAGGCAGACACTTAATGACTGAGGCACCCCGAAACAAACCCATTTCCATCTTCAAATGAAGCCAGGGCCCAGAACACTCACTATTGTTTCATCTAAAAATGAATTCCAAGTGTCTCTTAAATGTCCTGTATCTTTCATGATGAAGGGTACTCAGGGGGCAGTTGGTAAATACTTGTTGATGAAAGTACCTGGGAAGCATCATATCTGATACTGTCCATCTTTTCCCTGCAGGCAGCTCAGATGGTTCTGTGACAACTAATCCAATTTGTGCCTTCACTCAAGGAATTCAGTTCATTGAGAGAATCTGCCCGGGTGCAACATCCAGATTCACAACAAACTTTCTGACTTTGTATGCCTTTATCCCAGTTCTTGTCATCCTAGGAATAGTTGTTTTTAAAATAAGGGATCATCTCATTAGCAGATAAAGAACAATGCTGCGAAAATGACCTTAAGCCCTAGATGTGCAGGACTATTTTGAATGTCTGAAATAAGAAAGCCACGTGTTTCTTGATAGTACATCTTAAGTCTTTTAACTCCATCTGTGCCCCTCAGATCCATGCAGGCTTTGAATGATATTCTGACTTGCAGGGACATGTCCTATTTGGAAATTGTGAGTGAGCTGGTCCAAAAATGTAAATAGTAATAATTCATAAAGTTATGGGAGACTAGTGTGACTGTTTTCTTTGTTCTAGACACAGAAAAATAGGTCAGTTAAAAAATTATGTTTACAGGGCACCTGGCTGGCTCTGTCGGTGGAGCATGCAACTGTTGATCTCAGGGTTGTGAGTTCGAGCCCCACGTTGGGTGTAGAGACTACTTTTAAATATAAAAAAATTTTTTTTTTAAATTATGCTTACATTTGATACAAGATTTGTTAAGAATATTTGGTTATTGACTGTAACAAAAAAGAGAGTTGTGGGTTTGAGTGAAGCAAAGCATCCTGCAAAATTGGGGGGTGGGTGGGAATGCTTTATCATTGAAAAACCCACATTATGTGTACATGTCCACATGAGGGTCTGAGTTACCCAGTCACACTGAAAGGATGTTGGACAGATGTTGGATTCTGAAGACCCCTGATACAGAGCACCTGGTGATTTTTTGGGAGATAAAATGAAAACCTGCGGGAATGGGCTCAACTGAGATCACAGCATACCAGACAGACCTCAGGTAATGTCTTTAAAGATTAGTTTGCTGTTTTTCCACTTTTCACTTAGTTTACTTATAAAATCAAAAGTGAATGTTACTAGATAAAGTGTATGCACTGAGAAATGACATCTTTAAGGCTAGAGAGGAGGGGTTATTTAAGTCCATACAGAAAAGCTGTTCAGCTGACATAGTATTTACACTAAGAACCAGGTGACACACACAAAATTCAGGTTCTTGAATCGTAAAGAGAAAGAATGCTGATAAATATAGAGATACTTGTATTACATATTTTTAGGGATGAAATGATGTATATAGATGATTAAAAATGGGTTCTATACTAAATGACTGATTATCTTTCTGATTGATATTCAGGTAATTCACGTACAAGTCTGAAAAGACCCTGTCTCAATGTTACCATGGTAACTCTGAGGGAGAACATCTTAGTACATGAACTTGTTCAGCTGCTGTGACCTAACTTGTAAAGAATGATAAATTATAGCGTTTGAAATGTCTCATATTATAGCAGAAAAGATCATTTCATTAAGGAAACCACAGTAAAATTCTATTTCTTAGAACTGTATTTAAGGATCTGGAGACATTGGGAAATTACCAGAATAGTATTGTCAATTTTTATAAAAGGTCTCTGACACTGATGATTATGGTGTAATAGTTACATAATGCATTACAGATTATATATGTCACATCAGTTATAGACAATTCTGCAGATGATAATCTATTAAAGTAGTTTAAAGAGAGTCCCACAGGAACCTCTTTTGAAATCGCTGATTTCAACTTACTAAAGATATGGGTGTGCACTGTAAGTGGAAACATTTCTACTATTCATATGCAGATGAATTTCATTCTAGCTCGGAAACATTTGGAAAATTGACATAGCACGTGACTTCAAGCTATTAAATGTTAGTGATACCATCTTAGAAAAACAATGACTTTCAACATGTGACAGTCTGTCTCAAGTCAAAAATGGACAGTGATGTGTAAGACAATCAAAATTTCTGTTACTATTGTGGAATAGGCTGTTTCTTCCCCAGTCAGTGGATGTTTCTGAGATTATAACATTCAATATTAATTTAAAGGGAGCTCTTTCTCCACAGCACTTGGGCAGGGTGCCTGTCTGCACCTAAGACTGAGGGTCTTTGAAAATATGTTGAAACTCCTGTTGTCAAGAGTGCTGGAATTACATGGACTGCAAGTAGTTTATGAAGTCTTTTTTTTTTTTTTCTGAAATTATGTCCCACATTCTTTTTTTTTAAAGATTTTATTTATTTGACAGAGCACAAGTAGGGGGAGCAGCAGAGGGAGAGGGAGAAGCAGGCTCCCTGCAGAGCAGGGAGCCTGATGTGGGGCTCGATCCCAGGACCCTGGGATCATGACGTGAGCCAAAGGCAGACGCTTAACGACTGAGCCACCCAGGTGCCCCAAGTAGTTTATGAAGTCTTATTACTTCATTGCAGTGATCAGGTAGTTTGCTTTCCACTCAGATACCACTCATCAATTTTGGTGTTCTTGGGTTTAGTAAGTGTGCTTATTTGAAGCTGGGTGTATGGTTTATTAGAGTGAACATATTTTGTAATGGAAATGGAAGAACACAGAAATGACTTTCTTGGTCAATGACAACAATTAAGCTTACTCCAGATTGAACTTGGCTAGCGGGTACACAAATTCATAGGATCGAGAAGGTTTCTTAAAAGCTATTTCCCCTTGGAAATGATCTTTCAATATTACCAATTCATGAAGTTTTGGCCTGCTTATTGATAGAATATATCCTTAAATTTACATGTTCTTCAAAAAGTTATACTGGGCGCCTGGGTGGCTCAGGTGTTAAGCGTCTGCCTTCGCCTCAGGTCATGATCACAGGGTCCTGGGATTGAGCCCTCATCGGGCTCCCTGCTCAGCGGGAAGCCTCCTCCTCCCTCTCGCACTCCCCCTGCTTGTGTTGTTCCCTTTCGCTGTGATTCTCTCTGTCAAATAAATAAAATCTTAAATACTCAAATATGTCAGAATCATCAGAGATGCTGATTAAAAATGCAGATTACTGTACCCCATTCCAGACCCACTGATTCAGGATCTCTGGGTGTGGGGACTCAGGAATGTGCATTTTGTTTTATTTTTTCAAAGATTTTATTTATTTGGCAGAGGCAGCAAGATGATATAAGCAGAAACTTATAAATGCTGAAGTAAGTATACACTAAACATATTAGAGAATGGTAGAATATTCTTTTTATTTTAAAAAATACTGCATGTAATTACACAACTTTTTCCCCTCTTAAAAGACTTAAAAGTATCCAGAGAGTTGCACTAATACAACAAATGCCACTTTTCCTTTAACAAATACACATCTTAGCTTCCTTCACTTGCTACCATTATAGCTAATTAATAAAATAAACTTACTTGTATTTGGGAAAGAAGAAATAAGTACACTATAGGTGAATTAGGTTCAAGAATCAAACTCAATTTGTTTCCAAGACTTGGAAGAACTTCTTTTATATTGTTCCAGTTCCTAAAACAAAAATATGTTACTTAAGAAAAAAACTTAAAAATTAAACTAGGCACCTTAAAACTGCCTTAGCATTTTTTAGGTATGACAGTACATCCTTTATGGTATTATCATCCTCAAAATTTCTTGACAATTATTCTGTAAATTCTTACAATTAGGATTTATTTTCTAGAAATGTAGTCTTCAGAGTTTCTGTGTAGCCTAAATAACACTTAGAGATGCACTTATTAAAGATGAAATTATATAATACATATATGTACAAATTCTTTTAACTCTTGAAATACATTTGTCATACTTTATTTAAAAGTGATATTTTTGTTTCCTGTTCAACTCTTGCCAAAACTGGGTTGAAGTTGTCAAATTATCAATATTTAAAATGTATATATTCTTTTGACCCAGTGATTGTGCCTTTCAAAATGTGTCTCATAGAATAGAGAAGAGCGCAAGAATATAAATAGAAGGATATTCACTGTGTATCCCAGGGCAGGACTGGAAACAACTTGGCTATCTCTCAGTAAGGACATTATTAAAGACATCAGCGCTAGGGCACCTGGGTGGCTCAGTTGGTTAAGCGACTGCCTTCGGCTCAGGTCATGATCCTGGAGTCCCGGGATCGAGTCCCACATCGGGCTCCCTGCT